AAAAAAAAAAAAAAAAGTTTTTTTTTTTTTTTTTTTTTTTTTTTTTTGCATCCAACCTGGAAAGCCATGCCCTTACAAACAGCCTTAACTATTAGGGAGCAGGATGGAGCTGTACCATTCTTACCTGGAAAGTGGGGGCAGTGATGCTATCATGGGCGGCTGCCCTGGGGCTCTGATTCTTGTACAGGAGCAGAACCAGCACAAAACTCTCACAGTCAGATTTGAATCTCTGTCTTTCATCCCTCTGCTTATTGACTTACCAGGAAATGGAAATTGGTTTGCCTGCCTTACAAACTGGCATCAGAGATGTGTTGAGCACCATGCTGGGCATCAGTCTGAATTTCCTTCTTCATCTCTTCCCCCACCCTGTTGCCCAAAATGCTTTCGAATTGCCTCCTCCTTTGGTGCTGAAAATTGGAGAAATTTTTGCAGCAGTACCATGAGGCAAACTGGCAAAGTAAAATCTTTGGTCATGTACCTTGGACCAGTCAGTGTCCTAGTGAAGTCAGGCAACCCTAGAATGTAGGTATTACCGTCTCTCTCCATTTTCAAGAAACAGACACAGAGAATTTGGGGATTTTCCCCAAGTGACACAGATATTAAGTAGCCAGACTTCAGATATGCACCAGGCTGGTCCCTTCAGCTTTCCTCTTTCCATATTGCCCTTCTAGAGAAGCAGCCCTCAAAAAGGATGCATATGCGCAGGGCACAGTGACGCACACCTGTAATCCCAATGGCTCCAGAGGCTGAGGCGGGAGGATTGTGAGTTCAATGCCAGCCTCAGCAACAGTGAGGTGCTAAGCAACCCAGTGAGACTCTGTCCCTAATTAAAGCACAAAATAGGGCTGGGGATGTAGTTCAGTGGCCAAGTGCCCCTGAATTCAATCCCTGGTACTCTTCTCCCCCCCTCCCCCGCAAAAAAAAAAAAAAATGAAAAGATGCGCATGGGGCTGGGGTTGTGGCTCAGGGGTAGAGCGCTCACCTAGCCGTGCGAGGCCCTAGGTTCGATTCTCGGCACCACATAAAAATGAGTTTAAAGGTATTGTGTCCAACTACAACTAAAAACTAAATACTGAATAAATAAATTTAAAATAAGTTATGGTGTCCATCTGCAATTAAAAAATATTAACAAAAAAGATGTATATGTGTGCACACATGTGCTTATAATTTTAATTTGTATATATGGCCAGGCACAGTGGCACATGCCTGTAATCCCAGCAGCTTGGGAGGCTGAGGCAAGAGGATGGGAAGTTTGAGGCCAGCCTCAGCAATTTAGCAAAACTCTGTCTCAAAAAAATAAAAGGGGGCTGGGGATATAGCTCAGTTGGTAGAGTGCTTGTCTTGCTGGTTCAAACCGCAGCACCAAAAATAAATTCGTGGTTGAGAGCCCTGGGTTCAATCCCTAATACCAAAACAAAAAAAAACTTTAGTTTGTATATGTGTCTTAAACAGTTAAGTATTAGGAGATTTACATGTAATATCCCCAACTGGGGATTTTCTTAGGCAGGGGGGACAGTGGCAGCATGTGGCTGACGTTGAGCAAGACCCCCACAGACCCTTTCCAAGCCATGCAGCTCGTCTCGGTTGTTGCCCTTTGTGTCCTGGCCAAGAAGATTCTCCCACCCAGAAAGAGAAAAGGCAATGGTTTCTCATGTTTTATTTACCAGGGCCCTACCCTGTGGCCCCCACCCCACCAGAACCCAGAGGGGTAGGGGTGGGAGTCCAGCAGGGCCATAAGCTTAGAAAGACTCCAAGTTCAGCTATGGGACACATCTGTCCGGGAGCTAGGGACCCAGGGAAACACAGCACTCAGGTACTAACTAAATCTATGGGTGGGGATGGTTGAGAGGTGAGGGCACTGCATGTGTACGGGTGGTCCAGCCACAGGACGAGGCCCTCATCTTCCCCCCAGTCCTTGCAGATCCAGGGCCACCCATTGCAGGAGGGTGGGGTGCGCATACTCTCCCAGCTGCTCTGGATAGGTTTCCGTTCAGGCCTGCCTTGAATTGCCTGTGTCTGTATCTCCGCCCGAGTCCTCTCATTCTGTTTCCAGCTCTCAGCTCTCCCACAAGGTCCAGGCCTTCTGACCCAACCCATGGCTTATGTCACCAGTGTAACATGTCCAAAGAGCATTCTTGGTTCTCCCCTCCCTGAACCCCATCTCCCCACCTTTCCTCACTCTCCCACCTCAGACCCAGGAGCTCTCCTTGACCCTTTGCCACCACACTTCCTCATGACATCCAAAGCAGGTCCTCTCTACCTTTGCAATAGTTTCAGGATCCACCTGCTTCTCACCTCTCTGTGGGCTCAGTATTTGTCCACCCCCCCCACCCCTGCCCCCACCCACTGGGCTCCTGGCTTCCACTCCTGCCCATTAATCCATTTCCTGTAGAGCAGGAGATTGATCCATTTGAAACAGCCCAGGAAACACTCCTGCTAAAAATCTTCATTGCACCTGAAATAAAATCCAATTCCTGTGCTCCTCATCTGTGGGCCTCTATCCCACTCCAACCCCCTCAGCCTCCTGTTCTGCAGCCACCGACAGCTCCCTCCTGCCCCAAGGCCTTTGCACATGCTTTCTTCTACCTAAAATCTTGTCTTCCAATTCTTTCCGAAGTTGTCACCTTAACCTCTTTCAGGTATTCAGAAGTGGTTTGATATCACATCTTCGGAGATGGCCTCCCAGACAGCCCCTTCTAAATTCTCTTCATGCGCCACTTCACAGCCTATGTGTAGCTTCACATTTTGTGTTCACGATCAGCATCCCCCACTCAGTTGGGATCTCCAGGAGAGCAGGGACCTTGTCTTCTGTTCCCTTCTTCCCAATTTCCCCAGCGTCCCCCGCACCGGGTCTGATACACAGTAGGCACTCAATAAATACGTGCTCACCACAGACACAGGATTCCCATACTTAGCAGTAACTTTCCAAAACCCGGCTGCCCTCATCCCTAGGCCCTGGCAGCGCCCCCAAGGACAAGGCACGGCCGACGCGGATTTCGCCCCGGCCAGAGCCCGAGGGCAGGGCCCCGGAAGGGGGCTCCGGGAGCTTGGGCCGCTGCTCCTTGCCGAGGCTGCGGCGCAGGCGGCAGTGGTGCCAGCCGCGGCGGATCTCCGACTGCACCTGCAATGGCAGAGCGCTCAGGGGCGGCGCGGTTCTTCGCGCCGCCGCCAGAGGGCGTGGGCGGTCCTCTCCCTACCTCCTTGTTGACGAAGCAGTAGAGGACGCTGACCAGGAAACCCTGCGGGAGGAGGACCTGGGATCAGATCGCAGGTAGCCATGGCATTGGAACCACCCCCTTAATGAAGCTAGAACTCTTGTCCCGCCCCAAAGCACTTTGGCTGTTGCCACCCTGGTCCTAGACTATGGCCATCACCTGCTCCCTGGCTCCCAACTCCTCTCATTGCCCTAACCTGTTTGCTGAGCAATAGGGGTTGAGAACAGGGGACTTGGACATAGCAGCCTGGAGGCAAAAACTCTTTTCCTACTTCCACACTTAGAAATGCTCAGTTTCTTCATCTGGAAAGTGGAGCATCCAATGGTGATTAACATTGCAAGAAACTAGTTTCTGGTACATACATACAGTTAACCTTTGTTTTCCTTGCTTAATCTTATTAGAATTTGTTGTTATATAGCATCCATTATAAATAAATTATAAGTAGTTTATATTTTTATAAGTCTATATCTGTATACATCTGAATTTATTTATTTTGCAGTACTGGGGATTGAACCCATGGGTGCTATACCACTGAGCTACATCCCAGCCCTTTTTATTTTTATGTTGAGGCAGGATATAAGTTGCTGATGACAGCCTTGAACTTGGGATCCTCCTGTCTCAACTTCCTGAGACTCTGGAATCTATGATGTGCATACCCCACCTAGCTCTACATCTGAATTTAAAGAATTTAAATAAAGGCAAAATGGGACTGGGTGAAGCTCATGGGTAGAGCTTGTGCTTAGCTTGTGTGAGGTCCCCAGCACCAAAAATAGCTTAACTAAAAATGTGTTTCTGAGGTTGGTGGCACAGACCTGTTGTAATCCCAGTGGGAGGCTGAGGCAGGAAGATTGTGAGTTCAATAGCCAGCCTCAGAAACTTAGCAGACCCTGTCTCAGAAAAGAAAGCGGGGGAGGTAGTTGAGGATGTGGCTAAATGGTGGAAAATGCCTGGGTTTAATCCCTAGTAACAATATATTTTTTTATTTTATAGTCAATAACTTAATTGAGGGCTGGGGTTGTGGCTCAGTAGTACAGTACTTGCTTAGCATGTATGGGGCTCTGGGTTTGATTCTTAGCACCACAGATAAGTAAATGAATAAAAATTAAGGTCCATTAACATCAAAAAATATTAAATTTTTAAAAAGTTAATTGATAAATTTAAAAATCAAGGCCGGGTGCAGTGGCGCATAGCTGTGCACACCTGTGATCCCAGCAACTCAGAAGACTGATGCAGGAGTGCATGTCGGAGACAAGCCTCAGCAACTTAGTGAAACCCTTTCTCAAAATAAAAAAAATTAAAAAGTTGGTAGTGTGGTTCAGTGGCAAAGCATCCCTGGGTTCAATCTCCAGTACCAAAAAAATTTAATATCAATTATATATATGAGCTATTATTAAGATATTACTTATTATTTCCCACAATCCTATTTAAATCTAACTCAGATCACATTCCTCCTCTTTTAGCAGAGAAAAAAAAAAAAAAAGCCAACTAAAGTTTGGCTCAGGAATTTGTCTCTGAGACCCCTCACTTCTCTGTCCTCACACCCACTTCCTGCTTCTGACTCCTGAGCTCCAGGCACCCTGTCCTCCCTGCCTTATAATCTGGCCCCTGGCATTTCTCTTCCTGGAACATTTGCTCAAATATCTACCTGGCTGTTCCTTTGCCTTTCTTGGGACTCTGCCCCAATGTCTCCTTCTTAGGAAGGCCTTCCTTGACCCCCTGTCTAAAATATCAACCCCATCTTTCCATGGATACTCTTCATTTTTCTTTTCCTGTCCTCTATCTTTTCCACCTCCTAATATTCTGTTTATTAGGGTAGTGTGTGTGTGTGTGTGTGTGTACATAGATGTATACACACACCACCTAATATTCTGTATATTCTATTTATATAGCATCTTTAGTATCTGTCTTTCCCACTAGAGGATAGAGACCATTTGGCTCTTGGCTGTATTTCCACGATAAGCCTGAAAGAGAGCTTAGATATACATATAAACCTTCAACAATTTTTTTGCTGAATATAATGAATAAACAGCCTTGTGAGGTGAGACAGGTATTGTCCCCGTTTTAGACATGAGAAGATTGAGGCCTAATGAGGTAAGGCTGGGGTAAGGCAATCAAGTGCAGCCTTAAACTTGGAACGGCCACCTCCTTAACCTCTCCACCTCACGCATCTCACTTGCCTCACTCCAGCCCCCACCCAGAGGCCAGAACTGCACAGCTGCCAAGCAGCGCTGAGGGGCAACCGGAATGTGCTTCCAGCTCTGTCCTCGCTCCTCACCTGGAAGCAGTCCTGCTGTGGTCACCCAGGTTCCTGCCTTGGTCCCCGTGGCTCCCCCAAGCCCGAGGTAGCCCAGGCTAGCTCAGCACTGCGTGTCACATGCATAAATGAATGAAGGAACAAAATCCCATCTTCACGCCCCATGGAAGGCCTATTCAGAGAGGATCATAGACCTGGCGCCACTATGGAAGAGGGCGCTAGAAGGAAGTGTGCAGCCCCGCATCTGCCTGAGCACCTGGAAGGAGCTTAGGAAGATCTCAAAGCCGAGCTTGGCAAAGCGGAGAGCGCCGCGGGCCTGTTCCTCCGTCACGGGAGCAAACACCACTTCGTGGACACCCAGCAGCGGCACCAGCGTCAGCGTGGAGCGAGCCAGCCTGGGCAGAGAGGGGGGCAGTGTCCTCAGGCCGCCGCACCCAGTTAGCGGCCGGCCCCTCCCGCTGGGCCTCACCTCAGGCGGTAGTCTGGGCAGCGCATCTGGTGCGTCCTCAGCTTGGACACAAGAATGCCAAGAATGCGGATAAAGATGAGGAAATTAATCTGTGAGAAGAGAGAAGCTGAGCCAGACACGACCCCACTCTGGAGGGCAGGAGTGGCGCCCCGTTTCCCAAAATGGGAAATCCCCAAGGATGGCCTGGAGGATTGCAGGAGCGGCCATACCAAGATGGTTATGAGGATAGGGGTGCGTATGATCCACCAAATAGCCTTGACCTCGTTCCGCTCCCAGCACCTGGGGGATGCAGGGTCGCACTGAGACACAGAAAAACCCTAGACTCACCGGATCTCTGGCAGGTACACTCTGCAGGCCCCGCCCACCATCCTTAAGTCCCACCCACTTCCCTTAAAGCCCCGCCCATGACTATTAAGGCCCCACCCCATCCCCTTTCCAGGAATCCTTGAACCTTTCCAAGATCCCCTTTCCTTTGCTCCCCGCCCACATTCGCCCCAGCCGGTTTCCCATGTTTCCATCCCTCCCCGCCCACATCCCTCAAAGCTCCGCCCACCTCCCAGGTCCTGGCCCAGACCCGCAACTCACTGCGTGTTCTCGTACAGGTACCTGACGATCACCCAGGGAATGACGAAAAGCGCGGGGGCCCCTGTGCAGACCCCGACCCCCACCCCCCACCCGGCCGCAGCTGTCAGCGCGCTCACAGGCCCTGCCAGGCCCAAGACCCGCGGAATCTTCTGCCCTGATGGGGAGGCAGAAGCCTAAAGAGGGGAGGAGACCCCCTGAGGTAGACCAGCTGGGCAGTGGGGTAGCCGAGGCGCGCTGGGCTGGGTGGGGGAGAGAGTCGGGGCTCACCCCAGCCGAGGAGCAGGTAGCAGCAGAAGTGGCCCTCCTCAGAGCCTCCCACCAGCACTAGGAGCCGGTGCAGGTAGACGCCCTCCACCAGCAACCACGTGTAGTTGGCACCCACGCAGTACTGGGTCAACGTCTGGGCGGTGCGGCAGGCGGCTAAGGCCTAGGGAGCCGTCAGACAGGGGTAGAGGGCAGTCAGGGTGGCCAGGTGGCCCCAGGTCTTCCACCTGGTAACCCTTCCACCTCATCTCTTGCCATCAAATGATCTCCCACTCTGCCCTCAGTGGATGGTAACTGGCTGGTTTCTCACACCCCAGTCTCTTCCAATATGGACTCTCTCACTCTGTCCCCTTAACAGTTGGCATCTTCCATTTGTCACCAGAGCCCCCCCTCCATCACTCCACAATGTGGCCTCTGACACCCTAGCTCTGTCTGAAAACTGGATTCTCCTGCCAGCTTATGGACCCCTCCAACTCATTCTCATCCTTTTTTTTTTTTAAACCCCGGATTGAACCAGGGGCATGTGGCTACTGAGTCACATCCCACATCCCCAGCCCTTTTCCCTTTTTATTTTGAAACTGGGTCCTGCTAAGTTGCTTAGGGCCTCACTAAGTGCTGAGGCTATCTTGGAACTTGTGAGTCTCCTGCCTCTACCTCCCACAGGCTGATGTGCCCTCTACCCATCTCTCAGTTACAAACTGGTGGCTCCCAACCCTCCCCCCCACTCCCAGTTAGTTTCTCCCACCCTGTCCAGCTGGACTCCAGGAGGGAGGCTTCCCTAACTGGTGAAAAAGTCTATTGATGGGTGCAATCATGAGGGAGAGGGAATGAGAAATTCCAGTAAATGGGAATGATGGGGGAGGCTGAGCTGGAAGGGTCCCTTTCCAGATGTGTCAGGAGGGGTCAAGGGGGAAACTGTTGATGCTGGAACAGGTAGTAAATGGGTGGAGGACTTCCTGATCCCACCAGTAGGGGCAGTTTCCCATTTGAAGATCAGGAGGAGGATGCACACCTGATTCCACAGTGTGGGGCCACGGTCCCCAGGGTAGGGGCCAGGTGGAGGTAGCAGCCGATCTCGGGTGAGGATGGCTGCAGCTCGAAGCATGAAGGATGTGAACAGGTTGATGTGGATGTAGTTACGGGTGCAGCGCAGCCGCCTGGGGGATTTGAGAGGCCCTCTGAGAACCCCTGGAGAGCAGTCCTCAGTCCCACAGCGTCCCTTTTACCACTCATGAGCCCTTTTCATAGAGCCCTCTGTGAGGGCTTGAAGGTAGTGGCATAGAGGAACCTGGCCTCCACGCCCTCCACTTTTTTTTTTTCCTGGTACCATGGATTGAATCCATGGGCCCTTAACTACACAGCCACATCCCCAGACCCCCAGCCCTTTTATTTTGTATTTTATTTAGAGACAGGATCTCACTGAGTTGCTAGGGCCTTCCTGAGTTGCTAGGGCTGAGGCTGGCTTTGAACTCGCAATCCTCATGTCTCAGCCTCCCAAGCTGCTGGGATTACCGTACCCATATCTCTGCCACTGCCACTCAGGGCTGGGGATCCCACCTGAAGAAACTCAAGATGAGCAGGGCAAGCAGCAGAGTGGCAAGGGATAAGGAGTAGCCGATGGTGTACACCACCTGCAGCCGCTCCAAGATCAGCCTCTGGTCCTGGCGGGGACAAGGAGGACATGAGAACAAGACGGACATGAGAACAAGACTTGGCTCTTCCCTCAGGCCTAGGCAGGGAATCCCCCTAAATTTCCCAGCATATCAGTTTTCTCTTGAGGCACCTCCTACCCTGTTTCTGTGGGGCTGACTCCACCCCAGCTCCAGGGCTGGGTTCATTACCAATTGTCTGCCCCGCCCCCCCCCCCACACACACACACACACACTGTGGTAAATTCAGGGAAGGCACAGGACTCAAACCAGGACAACAAGAGTCAATCCCGGAACCAACCCACAGTGTGGCTTGGTTTCTGTGGGTGGAAAAAGGGTGCCAGTTCAGGCCACCCTTTTTCCACCCACAGAAAAGATGGGACAAACAGGCATGATATGGTGAGAGACAGGACCCACCATATAATTTGAGCACCTTGATCTTGCTGTACCTGAAGCTATTGCTGTATACTGTGCTTTTCAATCACAGAAGTCAGTGTGTCTCTTTTTTCTCCTTTAAGCCAGGATTGAGTTGGATCTCCATTACTTGCGACCCAAAATCCTGAACAGCACAAGGGCCTTCAGGCTCAGCCTGAGGCTACTGCCTTTTCACCTCTCCCTAGACTTCCTACCCTTAATCCCTTGCCTTTTCTTTTTTTTCTTTTAATATTTGTTTTTTAAGTGTAGATGGACACAACACAATGCCTTTATTTTTATGTGGTGCTGAGGGTCAATCCAGGTCCCGCCTGTGCTAGGCCTACAATCGCTGAGCCACAATCCCAGCCCCTCCCTTGCCTTTTCTTACCTGAAAGGAGCCATTCTTCTCTGGATCCTCACACTGGGTGTGGTCTCTCCAAGGTCCCCACTGGCCATCACTACCACACTGTCGGAGAACAAAGCCTGTGGCCACTGTGAGAAAATAGAGGGGATCAAGGGACAGACAAAGAGAAAAGCAAACTGTAGGGCTGGGCTGGGGCTCAGTGGTAGAATGCTTGCCTAGCACGTGTGAGGCACTGAGTTCAATCCTCAGCACATAAAAATAAATAAATAAAGACATCAAAAAAAAAAAAAATATATATATATATTAAAAAACTGTTAACCGAGCACTGTGAAATGATGGTGGTGGTGATAAACCCTTTTATAACGTTTTATATGTATCAATCAGCTTAATATTCATACAAGCTTATGAAAGTGGTACTATCATTAATACCATTTTACAGATGGGGAAGCTGAAATACAAAAGCAGTTAAATAAACCACACGAAGCTACATAGCTAGTTAGGCCAGGAAGACCACAGGTGCCCAAAGACAAAGACAGGCTCCAAAAGAGGAAAGACAATAAGAACACCAGTGATCCTTAGATGAGCTGACGGGAGGGGCATTGTGCAAGAGAAAGCCAGGGTTAGACAGGGGACAGGGACACCAAGCCTGATAGAGACGGAAGGAGGACAGAGGGGCAGGGGACAGAAAGAAGCAGAAAGGGGTGTAGATGAGTTGCGGGGTAGTCTGAGCATAAAGGACCAGAGAGCACCTCACCGTGGCGGTGCCAGGGCAGGTACCAGGGACAGGACGCACGCGCAGTGACGTTGGGTGCAGCATAGTCCCAGCAAACGTACATATCGAAGGACCCATTACAGGCGAGGCCTGGGGGCGGACGTGGAGGTCAAAGGCTGAATGGACCTACTGTGCGGCCAGCTCAGTGTTCCATCCGCCTAACCCCACCTGGATCTCCTCCCACTAAGCAATTTGGGTCTCTAGATTCTTCCCACCTAGACAGAACCTTCCCAGACCCCACCCAAACCCCGCCCCCCGCAGTGCAGGCTCCGCCTAAGACCCCTCCCATTTCAAGCCTCTCTGACTAATGGCATCCCACCCAGTACCCACCTTAGTCAGGTTTAAGCCCCTCCCACCAAGGCCAAGCCCCACCCACGTGTCTCTGACACAGCCCACACCAATCCCGGGTTTCTCCCCTTTCAGACCCCGCCCAAGGCTCCGCCCGTCAGTCCTAGGCCCGCCCCAAGCCCACCCCTCTCAGCCCCAGCCAGCTCTCCCTCCCCTCCCACCCGTCCTGGTCGTACCTGGGGGCGGCTCCGCGGCCTCCAAGGTCTCCTGGCACTCCCTGCGGTACCGTTCCCAGCGCTGGTACAGCTCCCCCGACGTCTGCCCCTCAGAGCCTGTCTACGAGAAGACAGAAGGGAGGACCCCCCAAACCAATCCTCTCCCCCGCCAGAGATCCCCTAGAGAGACTTGGAGGGGCTGTTCAATTTGGCCCTGGAGTCTCGGGTGGCCTAGAAACCTCTTTGAAGTTTTGGGGGTTGCCTAGAAGCCGCAGAGGGATTTGTTGAGGGAGATTGCAAACCTTTAAGAAAATTGAAGAGGGAGTGGACTTCACCAGGAGGATTTGTAGGGGGAAGGGGACTGGAAACCACCATCAAAACTTGAACGTGAGCGAGAGAGGCAGTCTTAAAACTCTCATTGAGGTGGACGGAGACATAACACAGTCCCCAGACCTCCCTCCAAGCTTTGAACCGTGTCCCCTCCGGTCCTCACCTCCGCCCTCCGGAGCGGCAGTCCCCACAGCCAGAGGAGCAGCAGCAGCCGCAGGGGCGGAGAGTTTGGCATCCTGAGGGCGACGATGGGTCTGGCCACCCAGAGGCGGTCGAGCCTGGAGAAGTAGAGTCAGCACCTCTGACCTCCGCCCTCGGACCCCCAACTCCAGGGCCCACCTGCCTTAGGGATTCCTACAGGGGCACTGAGAAGCAGCAGCCTCCTCTGCTGCCTCCACGCGTGAGGATTGGGGCGGGGCAGAGGCGTGTGGGTGGGCGGGGCCCCAGGTGGTGGGTGGGGCCGAGATCCGAGGCGTGATTCCTCTGCCGCCCCCAACTGTTGCTGGGGCAGCGGCGGTGGAAGGGAGGGGTGTTTGCAGAGGGGGCGGTTGCCCTAGAGCTGGGCTGGGCAGAAGCGTCAGTGTCACCCAGGGTCTACACCTAGAGACTGACGGAGCCTGGGGACAGCCTTGGAGAAGAGGGAGTAGAAACCCTCATCCAAGCCTGGGGGGAGCTCAAAACAGCCATTTGAGCTCCCATTCGCCCAGCCAAAAGGGTTTTCAAATTGCAAATAGGAACCCAACCTTATACAAAAATATCCCATGCCCGGTGGATAAAGGCCAGAGTCAGTGGGACAGCCCTCTCCCAGCATCCAAATATTGGGGACCAGAGAGGCATTAGACCTGGGTTTGGGTCTTCAGGGTCCCAGATACCTGAAAATTCTTTGTTCTAACCCCCAACACCCATCCCCACCACCCTGCACACCCACTGTGTAGGGGAAGGGGACAGCAAGGGGGATCTCAGATATAGACCCAGAAAGACAAACGCAGAGTCAGAAATACAGAGACCCAAAGACTGAGAGACAGTGAGACACACAGCCAGAGACCAGATACCGAAAGATCAGAGAAAGAGACAAAATTGTGGGCTAGGAGACAAAGAGGTGGGGAAAACATGGAAAGAGACACAGAAGTGTGGACAGAAAATGACCAAGAGCTGGAGGATAAGGACTCCGGGCACCGAGGGAGAGTGACAAAGGCATAGGCTGAGAGACGGGTGTGAGGGGGGAGAGAGACAGAGAGAGAGACCCGGAGCTGAATTGAAGGAGGGTCGAGGGCAAGGTGAGTGGATTGGGACGGGACTCCTCACCTGTCCCCAGTCCTGTACCCGATCACTTGCTCCTGCAGCGCCTGTGTGCCTCCACTGCCTCCCCTGTGCTCTGGAAGAGGTGACAGGCGCTGGCAGCCTGGGGTGGTGGGAGGGGGCGGGGCCATGGCGGATCGGAGAACAGGATGGGGAGCTCTGGGGCAGGGAGCAGAAGGAGGGGCAGCCAAGTGCATCACGGTCCCGCTGGAGAGCAGTCACAGTTATCATCCCAAGGGCCACCCCCCACACCATTGTGCACAATTTCTCACACTCCCATTCACAGAACACAGTGTCCCACCCAGCACTGACAGAGCCTCAGTCACACACACTGTCACACACAGTCCTATATGCTGAGCCAAAGGAGAGACAGTCACAGAACCTCGCACGCTGTCACTCAGAGTCTCACATTCATTCACAGCTGTACAGCCCCAGCCACACCCAGAGAGCCACAGCCTCTCACCCACAGGTTGACAGTCATCCAGAGTGGCACTTGCCCAGGTGCCCGGGCTGTGGACTGCTACACACACACAGTGACACAATCACAGTTTCCCACAATCCTAACAACACTGTCAATGAGACATTCACACATTCACTGGGTCATGGCACAAATACTGTCCATCTCCCCGGCTGGCCTGTGTGTCCCAGGAGGACAGGTCCAGGCACCTCGGTGACCAGGTGACCACCCCCATCACAGCATGCCCACAGCGGGAGCTCCAGGAGCGGTGTCAGTGGCATGAACACGCCCCAGTACGTGCTTCCCGTGGCCATACAATCCACCTGTGACAAGAGCCAAAGTCACACACGGTGTTAGGCAGCCTCACCCACAAAGTCTCACACTCTTCACATGGTTTCCCAGAGTTCACAGCCACACCCCAATGCACACATGCCCCATGTCACTGAGACACACTCAAGCTCTGAGGGTCACACCGTCATATGTCACCTCACTGACAACCACACCCAGTGACATACACAGTCATCCAGACACAACTCTTCCTGAGAGTCCTGCCCTACTCACAAGTCACAGGCATTTCTACATGAGTCATGCATATGGTCCCCCCACCCAGTCACACCGTCACACAGTGCCACATACTGTGACCTCACAATCACACACTAACCCACTGCCTCACACTGTCTCTTGGTGACAGTAACCACTGTCACACACATTCTTACAACCTCTGCTTCCGGTCTTGTCCCGACTCTCAGCGTCCCCGTCCCCCTCGATCCACACTCGGTTCAGGCACATTAATCATGCTGTGAACATTCGTGAGCACACACTCCCCGGGGACCTAGAAGATAACTGGGACAGAGGTGAGTCTGCCCATTTTGCAGAAGAGAAACTGAGGCCCAGGAGGGGCAGGGCATCAGGGGTAGTGGGAATCTGCACCAGAAGCTGAAAGGAGCTGAGTGGGGGGACGGGGGTCCTCGCCTTGGGGCCTCTGGCGGCCTTCCCTGCTCTCTGCCCCACATTCCTGGCGCCCTCAGGGTCCTGGGAAAGTCAGTCCCTGGAGTGGAGAGGAGAGGGGTCTGAGATTGCCCAGCACCTCGAGGAGAAGCTGGGGCTGGGAAGGAGTCTCCTTGCCCCCAAGAGGGCCTCAGGGTCACTCACTGAGGAAGGAGGGAGGGGGAGGAGGGACGGGGGAGGGAGACGTGGAGAGGAACCGAGGTGGTGAGACCCAGGAAAGGAACCAAGACCGAGAAAGATGGAGAAGGCGAGAAAAAGACTGGAAGAGAGAGAGGGAGGGAGAGGGAGGGAGAGGGAGAGAGAGGGAGGCAGACCCACAGGAGAGAAAGCAGGGCCCAAGACCCTGACAGAGACAGAAATACAGACCAGGACTGAGACAGGGAGACTGACAGATGGCAATGGCCGCATGGAGAGGGGCCTGGAGGACAGGCCCTGGGGGAGACATGAGGGGCACTCTTCACCCCTCCAGGAGAACAGGGCGGGCAGGGAGGGTCAGGCGTCGAGGTCCAGCTATTCTGGGTCCTCTCCGGTCTCCCGGGGTCTGAGAGGAGGGCAGCAGGACCACAGGTGGCCACACGGTCCCTGTCCAGCTCCCATGCCCAGGGGTTCTGGAAACTTCAAGCAAAAGAGAAGCCAAGCGCCTTCCAGGCCACCTAGGTCCTCCCAGGCAGGCACATGCCACAGACCACTGGTCCCAGGGACCCAGAAGCCCACACCCAGAAGTCAACACTCTCCTGTTGAGTCTCCATGGTCCTTCGCTAATGCTGTCTCCACATTTAGCCTGCTCTCTCCCCAGTGGAGTCCTTTCTCCTCCTCCTCTGCCCCCCCTCTCTTTCTCCCCTGAACCTGCCTCCCTCTCTCTCTCTCTCTCTCTCATCAAGAATTGAACCCAGGGGCACTTAACCACTGAGCCACATCCCCAGCCCCTTTTTATATTTTATTTAGAGACAGGGTCTCCCTGAGTTGCTGAGGCTGGCTTTGAACTCTGGATCCTCCTGCCTCGGCCTCCCCAAGCATGTGTCACTGCGCCCAGCACCTTCTTTCTTTGGTCCAAATCCCTTTTCCTTTGTTCTAACCCCACCCTCAGCTCTTTCCCTCTTCCTTCCCTCCAGTCTCTGCCTCTCTGCGCTTCTCCGCTTCTCTGACTACCTGTCTGCCTCTCTGTTCCTCGGGGACACTGCCCTTGACCTCTCTCCTTCCTCTCCCTCCCTTTCCATCTCTCTAGGTGTCTGTCCGGCTGTTTTTCTCTCTCGTCTGTCCCTGGTCCTGGGTTTCCTGGCTCTTGTCTCGTGCTCTCCGCCCTCAGCACTGACCAGGCAGGGTCCCTTGCCCCTGGCCAGCATCCCATCCTGGGGGGGAAGCTGAAAGGCCTGTACCTCCCCCCATGGGGCTGCCTGGCCAAGCAGAGCCTGCAGGGAGCAGGCGGGGGCCTGGGGGGGGGCGGCAGATGGTGCAGGAGAAATGAGGCAGAGAGATATGGGGAGATGGGGCGCCCCGTGGGGACAGAGGCCAGAAATGGGAGGCAGAGATGGCTCCCTGAGATGCAAAGCAGGAGACATGAGGCCTGAGAGACAGAGCATGAAGACACACAGGAACAGAGATACAGAGGGAGCCGCCACCAACCTGGGGGCCAGAGAGGCGAGACCCAGAGAGAAGGCCTAGAGGCAGCATCAGAGAGACTGTGACATGGGGACACAGGACCCAGAGGACAGGAACCCAGAGATAAAGAAAAACATATCAGAGACAGAGAAATGGAAAGACAAACACAAAGACTATGGGGATCCAAAGACAGAGGTAAAGAGACGCGGAAGCCAGAGACAGGCCCGAGAGAGGGAAACATGGACATGAGGATGGCCCCCAGACAGAGGGCCAAGGACACAGAAAGAGACTCAGAGAGATGAGCCTGGGAAGCGCAGCTCTGGACACCCAGAGAGAAGAGCAGGACAAAGATGGAGATAAAGAGATGGCAGACACAGAGAGAGGCTGGAGCACAGCACGGCGGGAATGGAGTCACTCTCCAAAGACACAATGGAGGAGAGGCAGACCTGGCTCCCCTTAGTCTCTCGGGGCCTGGAGGGGGTGCGTGTCGCCATAGCAACCTCCCCAGATCCCGAGGGCAAACACTGTCCTGGTCAGAAGCAGCAGAACTCTGTTGACATACTCTCATGCTGGGAGGGGTGGGGGCTCCAGGGGCCCAAAGGCCAGGCTGGGAGCAGGAGAGCAGAGGGGCTCTCAGCGGGGACTTTATAGACTGCTCCAGCCTTCTCCCCACCTCAAATCCCAAGCAAACATCCCCCTGGAAGGAGCCACTGTGGGGGTCCCTGCCCGCTCCCTGGTGGCAGCTGTGGACAATCCCTGAATCCTCTTGCCAAGTACCAGAGAAAACAGGCTGACCTAAGAATTTCCTTCATTTTCCTTCAGGGTTCTTGAACCTGGTCCCATCTGCCACCACCACCCCCAGAAGGGCAGCCAGGCAGCCAGAGGGATCATGCTAAAGCAAAAAGCTGATCCTGCTCCTCCCCTGCTAAGAACCTGCCATGGCTCCCCAGGGCCCTCAGGAGAAACTTCGTCTTTGCCAAGCTCTCCAGCGTGGTCTCCAGGCTTTCCTAACTCTTCCGACTCTGCCTCGTGCCCCTCAACCTTTGTTCCAACAGCTTTCTCTGCCTGAACTTTGTCCTGTCTTCCAAACCCATCCTCAAGTTAGTTTACTAGTCATTCAACAAACAGTTCTTTTCCATATTAGAGCATGAACCCTATGAAGGTAGGGTCGTGGTAGGACTGGGGTGGGGCTGCGAAGGTCATTGCTCTGTTCCCAACATCGCCCAATGCAAGTTCAGCAAAGAGCAGGTTGAATTCACTTTCCTCAAAACTTACGTACCAGGCTCTGAGCTTGGCCATGCTGGAGACTGGGACAACCTGTGCCATGGCTTCATGGAGCAAGTGTTCCAAGCCTAGACCCAAATAGGGAGACAGACTGACAGAAGGAGAGGGAGAAAGAGTCAGAAACACAGAGGAAAAGGTGAGCCTGAGAAAGACAGCCAGGCATCAGTAATGATGATGATGATGGTGATGATGATGATGATAATAGTATAATGGGTATCATATATTGAGCATTTTGCATATGTCTCAGTCCTCATAATAGGATAGAGCTATTATATTATTCTGATTTTCCAGATGAGGAGGCTGGGGCTCAGAGAGGGGAAGTAACTTGCCCAAGGCAACACAGCTCATAAATAAATGATGAAAGGAGTGCCCTGCTCATCCAACCTCAAAACCCAGTTTCCAGACAGAGATATAAAACCATACAGAGACAGCGATGAGAAAGAAAAACGGCATAGAGAAGAAAACCTAGAGGCAGGGAGAAGAGGCTGTGAGCCCTGCCTACCCCCTCCACCCTCCAGCACAGCCACCCCCCAGCAGGGCCACCCCTCCTACTCCTGTCTCCCGGGGCCCTTGACATCTCCCTGCGAAAACCACTTGTGATAAAACCAGCTCCATTAACTGTACCGAAAACCACGGTGCACAACACTTAACAAGCATGATCTCGCTCAGCCGGCTCTTCTCCCCTGGAGAGTGGGCACTGGATGACGCCCA